TACGAAGCGTCGTGAATGATGTGAATGAGATAACTTCCATTAAAACAGTTTTCTGACACAATTCTGAATTTTTTCGCGCCTGTTTCGTGCAATAAATTATACCAAGGATGATAGAATTGTGTGGTTACAGTTTCATTTTTACGATTGCTAATTGCTCGTTAATGTTTCTCTCGTTGGGAATACTAAATTGATGCTCTTCTCGCGGAAGACGTATCGTGTTATTTACTTATGTAACGTATTTACTATTTTTCCAAGCAACTTTATTGCAATCTAATCACGTTAATCGTGACAGTATAGAAAATGGCGGATTAACTATGTGAGCGTGAAAATATAATCTGTATTTTCTATTTGTTTATGATACATTTCGTCGAATGAGACGTGAAAATATTTTCCACAGAGGTGGAAATGTAACTCCAATGGACAATTTGTAAAATTAGACTTTAATTGTTATTGATCCTTCTATTCGAACGGAGATGAGAATTCGCGGTAAACGCGGCGCGCTTCTGCACACACGAGAGATTCATGCAGCAGCAAAACATGTGCAAGGATCATTACAGGATAATGTGGCCGATGCAAAGTGTATGCACGCAGAACGTAGTCGTATGAATGTGTGTGGAACTTCATGCTGGCTAACCAACCGAGTCGAGGTCTTTTGTCGTTTCACGCTCTCCTTTCGCGTAGTCTCGCACCATTCCCACTTGACGGAATCAATGGTAATCGCGGGAAAAAGTGTAAAATTGAATTGGAGAATCTCACAGTTTCCCTAATACCTATTTCTTTACCGGAGTAAAAAAGAAATATTGTCATTTATACAGTACTTTCGACGTGACGTCAATTTTACCGTGGGAAATTTCAAGAGCGCGAAATTTTACCGCAATAAATTTCAAGAGCGCAAAATTTTATCGCAATAAATTTCAAGAGCGCAAAATTTTATTTTAATAAATTTCAGGAGTGCAAAATTTTGTCGCAACAAATTTCAGGAGTGCAAAATTTTATCGATATAAATTTCAAGAGCGCAAAATTTTATTTTAATAAATTTCAGGAGTGCAAAATTTTGTCGCAACAAATTTCAGGAGTGCAAAATTTTATCGATATAAATTTCAAGAGCGCAAAATTTTATTTTAATAAATTTCAGGAGTGCAAAATTTTGTCGCAACAAATTTCAGGAGTGCAAAATTTTATCGATATAAATTTCAAGAGCGCAAAATTTTATTTTAATAAATTTCAGGAGTGCAAAATTTTGTCGCAATAAATTTCAGGAGTGCAAAATTTTATCGATATAAATTTCAGGAGTGCGAAATTTTATCGATATAAATTTCAAGAGCGCAAAATTTTATTTTAATAAATTTCAGGAGTGCAAAATTTTGTCGCAACAAATTTCAGGAGTGCAAAATTTTATCGATATAAATTTCAAGAGCGCAAAATTTTATTTTAATAAATTTCAGGAGTGCAAAATTTTATCGATATAAATTTCAAGAGCGCAAAATTTTATTTTAATAAATTTCAGGAGTGCAAAATTTTGTCGCAACAAATTTCAGGAGTGCAAAATTTTATCGATATAAATTTCAAGAGCGCAAAATTTTATTTTAATAAATTTCAGGAGTGCAAAATTTTGTCTAAATTACAAAAGTACACGGTACAGTGATGAATTAAAAAAAAAGAATGCAATTTTCCTTCTGTAATTTAAATCGCACATTTTCGCGTTTTTACCGAATAATGACTCGGCTAACATTTCTCAACGGCGAGTCTGTGAACGAATCTCTCTGGTCTCTCGTTTTATTCGGCAGCCGACCATGAAAATTACGCCAACAGCAACGCCACGTTTCGTAGACTCCGAACACCGGACTCCATCTGCATGAAATCGTTTAGAATCGGTGTAAAGATGATTGCTGGGTATATAACATGAGATGCATCGTCTGTCGCTAGTCACGAGACGGAAATCAGTTCGATAAAGTT